CTGGATATCTTCAAGTTCTTATTTAAAACCTTTTAATATTAATATTATCTTTACAAATTGATACAAATATCGAACATAAGTTTGTTGACATAAACATTAGTTTCATAATACAAATAAATGTATTTCTGTTATAGACTGGTCATAATTTATTTAATATATTCATTTAAACATATTTTTGTTTTTTGTCTGGATGATATTGAATACTAACTTTTCTATATAACTTCTTATACCCGACATTTTGAGATAAAAAAACAGACAATTAATTAAGAGCGTACTTATAATTTTTCGGGTATAGGAGTTTCAATGTTAAAATGTTTCCCAAATTATGAAAATACTAATAAATTTAAAAAGCCAATTAAAGAAAGTGTTAATATCTACAGAACTTGCTTGACAACATCGTGTTTCTTTTTTGGAAACAGAGAACAGTCGAAAATAACATATTTTTATTTCAAAAAAATAATACATCAGTTTTTTGTTTTTTATGTAAATCGTATCATTTTCAAGGCAATAAATCAGAAGAAAAGTCACGGAAAACCGATTTTAAAAAGGTTTTTTATTTTTTTTTTTTTTTTAGAAAATGGAAAGAGAAAAAAGATTTTTTAAACGAGTTACAATTCTTTACTTATTTCGCTGTTTCTCTTCGACGATATCCGGTCTCCCTCTTGTTTAAAATCGATAACTATAAACGGATTAAGGTATTTTGTACCTGTTAAAAAATGTAAGAAATATTTTGAGGAATATAATTCTTTGTTTATAAAAAATAGTAAACTTTAATAAACATATACAATATTTTAAAAGATAAATCACATTTTTGTGATTATTCAAAAATTTTATTTACTTTTCCAATATAATATGGATTGCCCTCTAAAATATATATAGTGGCTCGCAAACAGTCTGCTTTTTATATAGAAAACTTTTTCTTGTTACTTTTTTTCAGAAAATGCCATTCTTGATAATTAAACCTAAAACTTTATTTATTTAAAAATTTTTGTACCATAAATATAAATTTGGCTGCGCAGTGAACTAAGTACTCTTCTGGAAACCGAACCCACATTTTTACATATAAAATTAATGTAAAAAATGTATATAATCCCATTTAGACATATAAATATAGTATATTATGTACCAAAGGACAAAACTTTCACTTTTAATCCCGCCTTTTCGTCGTAAAAGTCTTTTAAAATTTTTTACCAGTGACTTCCGTACCGGGTTTGAACTGAATATTTTTGAAGAAAAATAGGGTACGCCACTGATTTTTCTAAAAACCAAAATTATTTTGAAAATCCTTATTTATTTTGGAGCAAATTTGGTTTATAAATGTACTTTCGTACGACGCAACCTTTTCGCGTAAGAAAATAAAAACCAAAAAATTGTTTTAAGTTTATTGAAACTGCTTTTGATATTTTGTTGTATCGACACTCAATAAATAAATATCCTGTATTAATTGATATTACCTTATTCGAAACAATCGTCTATTTTTTCGTTATTTGTATATTAGTTTTATTTTGCCTATCTTCCACAACTCTATGCTTCTAAATGTAATTTAATCTAACTAAAGCTATTCACTAAATTAAAATATAAAAATAATGTAAAACCGTCTAATAAATCGAACTGCGTTATAATAATATCTCACAATGCAGCAAGAAAAACAAATACGATTCTGGTTTCCCTAATTTAGGTAACTCTGACTCAATAACTGATGAACGTCGGCAGCCGTGGTAGGATTTTTTGGTTCCTTTGTCTCAACTTCATGCGTTATAGTTTAGAATATGTATCCCTCGTATCTACATGCAATTGTTAAAATTATGAATGAATGCGGATTTTGTTTAGTCTCGGAAGTAAGTTCCACCCTCAAGTTGTAATTTTTATACCTACTAAACCACTAACACGAATACAAAAAGTACATTGCAGGCCCGTAAACCGATTCATTGCAACTAAACTTTTCTATTAGTGGCGTCAAACTAGCATGAACATAATGAAAACCTGTAACTTTTTGCGGAGAAGTCGGATTGACATACGGTTTTCTTTAAAATTTTCTAAAAATTATCAGTAACAAAACGTACATCTAATCTCTGTATGCTCGGATATTTATAATTATTTATTTAACAAAATGGACAATTTTCTGTGGGAGTTAACGAGAATATGGAAAACGTGACTGGCCGTTCAACAAAAAGGTCTGGCAAATTTTCTCGGGCTGGTTTTCGAAGGCGCCCATCATCTTGTTGGTGTCAAAACTATTGTTTATTGTTAAATTGTTGTAAACTCGCTAATTAACAAATTGATATCTCTGCTCCAAAAATCATTTCAGCCCTCGATTTTTTTCCAAAAACTCTGGGTCCCCGGGGAGCAGCATGCCCACAATATTGTGGCATGCAATTGTTTATTGTTAAATTGTTGTAATCTCGCTAATTAAGAAAATTAATATCTCTGCTCCAAAAATCATTTCGGAGCCGGATTATATTGCACTGCGGCGTGTACTAATTGTGCCGTAAATGATTGCACAAACTGCAAACCCATGCTTGCAGAAGATGCGGACGATGGCGATCCCAGCGCTGTCGATTTTGCACATTCGCCGACGTTTGACACGAACATGGAGAATAATATTTCTTTGGTTAATTGTTTGGAAACAGAAGAAATTGAGGAAAACCTTCATGAAGATTAGGAATAACACATGTACACCAAGAGGAGTTGTTCTGTTATTTTAATTTAAAGTTTATTTCACCTAACAATGTATTTTCCAATAAACATCAATAAAACCTCGTCGTATTATCCGACTGACTTTGATCTTACCTTCACATTTGCAATTAAACAACAATTACCAGCCATTAACTGAGAGTTCTGATTTAATCCCGTTACTTCGATTTTCATTGGAGGAGAGTTATCAATTTGTTAATTAGCGAGTTTACAGCAGTTCAATAATAAACAATTGTGTGTGACACAATTTTGTAGGGATGCTCCTCCCCAGGGACACAGAGTTTTTGGAGAAAATTCGAGTCCTCTAAAGATTTCAGGAGCAGAGATATCAATTTGTTAATTAGCGAGTTTACAACAATTTAACAATAAACAATAGTTGACAAGGGGGGTAGCCATGTGTGAGTTGACATGCTAACACATAAACAAAATAAAATTCAACAAAATTTAGTTTATATTAACAATCCTAATATGGTACATGAACTAACCACCAGTAAGAAATACATTTCTCTTACCTTTATTGGAAAATCATCCTATAAAGTGGCTAGCTTACTCAAAGGCCACTTTAAAGTATCTTTCAAAACCCCCTCTTCATTACATAAGTTATTTGTTCATAATAAAGATAAATTAGATCCCTTTGACTTATCTGGAATTTATAAATTAACTTGTAAATCTTGCCATTCTTTCTATGTGGGACGCACATTTCGAAATTTCAAGATCCGTTTAAAAGAACATTTACGTTGTCTTAACCAAAATACAACAGGTTTTTCACATTTTGCCAACCACCTACTGGACTCAAATCACGACTTCGATTCAACTGAAGGTTTCGAAATCCTTCATAGTTCCTACAATAGATTTACTCTTAATAGCTTCGAAAACCTCGAGATATTGAGACATTTAAAATTAAATCCTGTTGGTTGCTTAAATGCCCAGATATTGTCAGAAACTCCTCCTGTTTTCTCAACACTAATCTAAATTTATCGTTCTAACTTCATTTTTAACCTCCCTCCTTTATTTCTATTCACATATCTTCTTGCAAGGGGTACATTTCAGTAAGTAATTTTTATATTTTTTATATTTTTCCCATAAGAAACCAACGAGCACGTGTAAAGATTAGGTTAGATTGTCTGATATCCACATGCGTCATTTTCTTCTTTTATTCTTCAGTTGCTTCACAACAGTTAACCCAGTCATTTCTTCTTCTTTCTTCTTCCTACAACATCACATACACTTGGTGATTGGTTCATGGCCCAAATCTTATATAATAGATAATAAATAATTCTTCACTCATAGTTTACATCTTATTAACTATACCCTGTCATAAGTTTACCCAAGATTTTTTTCGTTATAATACTTACCACCACCTGTAGAAGCCTTAACTTGACAGGTCTCCTTTCAAAAAATGTTAGTTTTTTTAAAAAAACAGCAATGTTTAAAATAGGCCTTATCTTTTAATCTGTTTAATGTATGTGATTTGTTTTTGTATAGTCTTGAATATTTTAAATTTTTACTATAATTGACTAATATTTGTTTTTTCAAATATTTTTAACTTTTTATTACGTGTAAATCGGTTCATTTTACAATTTATTTCAACCCAAAATTGATGAAACTTGTTTTTGTAGTATTCCCTAGTGGATGGAGAGTATGGTGAGTTTTCTCTTTTTTATTATTTTATATATCGTTTTGTTTCCAAGTTAACACACCTTACACCACATATTCTCCTTTCCACTAGGCGAGCCTGAAGATGAAGTGATGACACTTCGAAACCGGTCGCACTCAATGTTTTGTTTAACAATTAAACATTGACTTTCCTTGTGAGATATAAAGGACTTTTTCTCACCCTTCACCTTAAAAAAAATAAACAATAGTTTTGGCATCAACAAGATGATGGGCGCCTGCGAAAACCGGCCCGAGAAAATTTCCCAGAACTTTTTCTTGAACGGCCAGTCATGTTTTCCATATTCTCGTCAACCCCTACAGAAAATTGTCAATTTTGTTAAATAAATAATTATAAATATCCGAGCGTACAGAGGTTAGATGTACGTTTTGTTACTGATAATTTTTAGAAAATTTTAAAGAAAACCGCATGTCGATCCGACTTCTCCGCAAAAAGTTATAGGTATAATGCTAGTTTGACACCACTATATGAACTAAACACTGCTAATCACAGTTTGACAGTGGATTCTCGGGACGGGAATGTCCCTATTGCGCCAGCTGACGAATAATTAAACCAAAATATTTATGAGACACCCTTTATCTTGATACATCTTATCAACTAGTAAAATATACCTTGAATAATTTTTGTATAGGATGGTTCTCCCCATGGTATTAGCCCGATATATCAATTATTTTAATAATAAGAGAAGTGAACAGGTTGGATGGATGTGGGCAAGTGCTGTTGTTTTACAGGTCTTTATTATGGTGATCCTTAATCATAGTTCGATTTTATATTCTCAGAGGATCTGCATGAGAGCTCGAATAGCAGTGTGTTCTCTAGTTTACAGAAAAGTAAGAACAAATTTAATTTATGAAGTTTTTAACACTTTTTAATTAATAATGAAACAAATGGTAGTTTTTAACAATTATGAATAACTTTTTTGTACAGGGTGAGCGAAACTCGATGTCTCAGCTCCATTATGGGACAAGGGAAAAATATAGGAAAAAGTTGAAAAGAGGTTCTTAAATGGGATAGAGTAAGGTCCGTTTTAAGCCCAATTTGCATATTTGTCCATATTTGGAAACTGAGGTAGACGTCATTGATTTTTTTTTTCGGAAACATACCTATATTTTTACAAATTTAAAAAGAGCTAATTTTTCTGAACAAAATTTATGAAGAAAAAAATTTGATATCTCCTTCACTTTAAAAATTATAAGCAAATTTGTAAAAAAAAGTATAATCAAAAATTCAGAATAGTCACAATTTAAACAAGTCGCCTTTGGAAACAAATAGCAAAGACGTATCTGTCAAATTAAATTAATGGTTGACAAATATTGTTATGTTGTTATTTGGCTTTGAAAAATATTCACGCACAATGAAAAAGTCGACATGTTATTAGTTTATGGGGAATCTCAAAAGAACCCTAGAAGAGCAGTTCAGTTATACGCCCAGAGATACCCCGAACGTGTTATTCCAAGCTTAAAAATATTTGCAAGATTGGAACGCAATTTACGTTCAAATAACAAGGCATTTTCTTCTCGAATGGGAAAAAAAATTGCTAAAAGAGTCAATTCTGATAATACTGTTTTGCAGTATTTTGAAACCCATCCAAGAAATTTAATTCGGCAAGCCTGTCGTGAGTTGAATTTAAAATATAGTTCGGTACGAAAAATTTTGAAGGAAAATGGTTACCACGATTATAAACTTCACAACTTAGAATACTTATCAGATCAACGTCAACAACGAAGATTGAATTATATTGCCCAAGTGATGGAAAATAGATTTTTTCAGCATGTTTTATGGACGGACGAAAGCCATTTTGTTAGTAATGGTAAGCCCAATAAAAAAAATGAACATTATTGGGCTACTGAGAATCCACATTTTGTCAATCCGATTGAAAACCAAGGGCATTTCGGAATTAACGTTTGGTGTGGTATTATTAATGGGCATTTGATTGGTCCATATTTTTACGAAGGAATTTTATGTAGTGAGCGATACTTGCAATTTCTTCAAGAACAATTGCCTGTGCTTCTCGAAAATTTGCCATTACAGCTTCGAGCAAATATGTGTTACCAGCATGATGGAGCTCCACCGCATAAAGCAAGAATTGTCCAACGATATTTTAATGAAACTTATGGAGAACATTGGATAGGTATAAATAAACCGATACAGTGGGCGCCTAAATCACCGGACTTGATCCCACTAGATTTCTTTATGTGGGGAATTTTGAAAAATAAAGTTTACAGAACACCATCAGTTAACATGGAACATTTAAAAGACAAAATCAGAATTGCTTGCGATGAATTATCTAGAGAAATGTTACGTAAGGCTTCGGTAAGAGAAGTAAGACGGAGATTGGATAAGTGTTTAGAAGTAGGAGGTGGTCACATTGAAAATTTGTTTTAGTGATTGACTATGCATACAAGCTTTGTTTCTCTCTCTTGTAAGTAATATATTATTTGTTTCTTTTTTACAAATTTGCTTATAATTTTTAAAGTGAAGGAGATATCAAATTTTTTTCTTTATGAAATTTGTTCAGAAAAATTAGCTCTTTTTAAATTTGTAAAAATATAGGTATGTTTCCGAAAAAAAAATCGAGCACGTCATTACCTCAGTTTCCAAATATGGACAAATATACAAATTGGGCTTAAAACGGACCTTACTCTATCCCATTTAAGAACCTCTTTTCAACTTTTTCCTATGTTTTTCCCTTGTCCCATAATGGAGCTGAGACATCGAGTTTCGCTCACCCTGTACAAATGCATAGAATATTTTTTCTGCGATCGAAGATCGGGTCAAATCTACGCGCAGACTACAAAACTAAAAGCTATGCTATTGTCCAAGTGAATGAATATATTTCATATCCATTCTAGGTAGTGAGAACGCTGCAAAAAAATTAAATCACAGTTCATATTTTGGTCACACGACTATTATTATTTTTAAAATTTTAAATAAGTGACAATTCTTTCAAACTAATTGTCAAAATATATTTTTTAGCCATTAAGTTTATTTTATAAATTATTTTAAATAACTTTTATAAATTAGTAAAAGTCATAAATTATTTTTAAATTAGTTTTCTATCTTAATCTAAAATAATTTTCAACATTTGTAGATTTTCGTTAGTGGGTCGTAAAAAAATATACTGTACAAATCGAGTGGATTATCAATATCCACTCATGTTGTACAAACTACTATTAAATAGCGGATTTTTTTATTCTATAGCTGTTGAAACTGAACCACTCTTCTCTAGGGCAAACAGCTGCCGGTAAATTAGTAAATTTACTATCCAATGATGTCCAGCGATTCGATATGGCGTCTTACTTTTTACATTTTATCTGGATTATGCCCTTCAATGCTGTTATTTCGTTTTACATAATATACTATAATGTCGGGATTTCTGCTTCTGCAGCTGGAATGGCCATTGTGTTAGTATCCATATTAATTCAAAGTAAGTATACTATTATAATGGTATTCAAGTACTCAAAGATAAAATAATGATAATTGAGGGCCTTAGAATAAAAGGGGTATGAGTGCATTTTGGAATAAAAAGGGTACAAGTTACGCTTGTACCTGTTTTGCTTTAACTAAACTGTAGGAATTCTTCACATAGTATTACCATTGTATTTAGATCAACTAGTAAAACAATACCAATGCAAATTATCTTGGAGGACAATGGACAGTATCAATAGATGGCAGCAAGCTCCGTGGTGTCCAAGTCATGTCTTTGATAATTTTGTCGTCTTCGAAACGAACGTAATTTCTCTATTTACTAATAGATGGGCCCATAATCGATTCAGAAAATTTGTTTTAAAAATGGAATATACGAGCTTAATTATGCTTGTTGAACATTTATTTACGATTTATTATCATTTTAGAGAATATAAACAATAGTAATTTAAATTTAGAACTCTACCCATATGAATTTAAAAATTAAGAAAATTTTATGTATATAGAATTCTGTACTCAATGATCGAGGAAGTGCTAGCGTTCGGGCTATTTTGATGAATTTCTAACAGATGTCGCGACAGAATTGCCTCCAATGAAACGTCCATAAGGTTGTTCTACTATCTTCTCTAAATACAATGGTATTACTAATCACCAAAAGATGACAGTCTAGGTCAATACATCACTTAAATCTGTTTTGTACAAAACAAACATCAAATTTAAATATTCATATATGCTGTTATGTCCAATCCAAAAAAATCACTTATACTTCTTTTATTCCAAGGGACTCAATTGTTTTCTATTAAAAATGTTGAATCACGCCCTGTATAGAAAAAACATGTCAAATAATAAAAAAACTAAATCTTATAAATCTACCTTACTATAGTCTATTTTTATGTATGAGAGAGTAATAAAACAGCATTTCTAATGCAAAACTCAGTACGGTCATTTTAAATATTTTTACAGAATAATCTAAATATTTCCTAAAATTGTAATAAATGTACCTGAGCTATTACAAGTTTTGGGTCTTTTATTGGTCCTTTATAAACATAAGCTACACAGAACAACAGAAAAAGGTTTGGACATGCCAAAAGCCCTGTGTATTAAAGATTACATACCCATATCTTGAGATTATTTTCAATAAGTACCTATTTGCCAATTTTGTTTTATTTTAATTCCAAGAATTTCTTACAGTAATCGAATTATAAGTAGATAAATACCTTCCCAAAAAATTTCACCGAAAATGCGATCATAGGTTTTCCATTTAGTAAGGAGGTCCAAGTTGTGTATTCTTGACAGTTTACTAAATGTCGTTTAGTTGCAACTTGCAAGGTGCAGTGTGAATTCTAGTGTGATCATGGAAAATTTGGAATGGCCGCGTAAACGACAAAAAATCGGTCCTTTAACAGTTAATGAAAAAACATTAATATTTAATATTTTAAATCATTTACAGACAAACATTTATGTAAAAGTGTTGATGACACAGTGGAATTAGTTAGTGATACGCTTGGTGTTGGGAAATCTACGATTTACAGAGTTGTTAAAGAAGAGAAATGTGGCGAGTTTCAAACAGCACGTAAAGCTCCAGGAAAACCAAAATTTCAATTAGAAAATCTTTTGAAAGAAAGACTTCGAAGGAAAGTGGACAAAGTTCTTGCCACGATTCGAGATGATAAGGATTACCCTGAAATGAGTCGAAGCACACTATGGAAACTTTTAAAAGAAATAGGTTTTCTATGGAAAAAGCATTCCGGTAAGTCTATTTTAATAGAAAGAAGCGATATTGTAGTATGGAGAAGAAATTACCTATGGACTATAAAAGAAATGAGAAACCAAAGAAGAAATATATTTTATTAAGATAAAACATGGATAAACGAGGGACATAAACCAAATAAATTTTGGCATGATGAAACTGTTGTAAGTCGAAGACAGGCTTTTTTTAAATAATTTATCTACTGGTTTAAATCCACCATCAGGAAAGGGGCTCAGACTAATAATAGTACACATTGGTAGTTCAAACGGTTTTGTTAAAGGTGGTTTATTGACTTTTGAATCTACTCGTACCGGTGACTACCATGAGGACATGAATGCTGATATCTTTAAAGAGTAGTTTGAACAAATTATAGATCTTCTTCCTCAGAACTGTATAATAGTAATGGATAATGCAAGTTATCACTCGAGACTTATAGAAAAAATGCCCATAACCATAAAAAAGATTTACAGAATTGGCTAAATTTAAAGAATATTAAGTTCCATCCCGGTTCTGTGAGAAAAGAACTGTATCATTTGTGTTCCTTCATAAAGAGAAACTCAAAAAATATGAAATTGATGAAATTGCACAAAATCGTGGGATGACGGTGGTTAGATCACCACCATATCATTGCGAAGTAACCCCGATTGAACTGATATGGGCACAGATAAAGGGAGAAGTTTCAAGAAAAATTAATTCCCTTAAAATTAGTGATGTTAAACAGTTGTTTTTGGAGGCTGTAAATAATGTGAAGCCTGAAAACTGGGAAAAGGCAGTAAATCATACGATTAAAGAAGAAGAGAAAATGTGGAAGTTGGACAATATTACTGATGAAATGATCGAGCCACTCATTGTAAATATTGGTTGCGACAGTTCATCTTCTGATTTCGATTCTGATTTGGATTTGTAGGTAAGAAGTAGTTTTTATATTAAAATTATTATTTATGAACGTAACGTTGTTTAAAAGTCAAAGTTTAAACCCTTATACCTACATAAACCGTTTGACACAATGTTCTTAACATACCTTGTGGAAAATAAAACATTTTAGAAAAAATTGCACTTTTTTACCTTCAGCTTTTTAGAAGTTATAAGCAGGTTAATTAGGTGAAAATATAAGTGTATACTCGAGGAATAACTTCAAAAAATATTTTAACTGTCTACTAAAAGAAGTGATACGCCTATGGATTACGAACGCTTTATTATTTTAATACTCTCTCATACATAAAAATAGAGGTATAATTATTCCATTAAGGGTCGATCTTTTCACCTCTGAGTAAAGTTACATGTAGATTTACTTGACAGATTAACAAACAATAGCCCTATAGTTTAATCAGCAAGTAGTTACTTTCAACTTTAGTCACAGGTGAAAATAAACTCGCCACTATACATTTATAATTTTAAGAAATTTTAAGTTACTATTGCTTAAACTTTAATTGGTCACATCAATTTTTCAAATATATAATTAGATTTGACATGGAATCTAAAGTTTGTTGAAAAATCAAAAAAATGTTTTTCATATTTTAACTAAAAGCCTTTTTTTATCATAATGTATGTACCGTTTTAATATTATTGTTATTCAGTACAAAAAATGAATTAGAGGTAATATTTATTTTATTTGTATACAGTTTATATGACCACGATGCAAGGAAAGTTGCGATACCAAATTGCAATTAGAACAGACAAACGAGTAAAACTAATGAATGAAGTAACCTCGGGTATTCAAGTCATAAAAATGTACGCTTGGGAGAAGCCTTTTGAAAAGATGGTCAAGTTGTGTAGAAGGTAAGATATTTAATTACATATCTGTAAAACAAAATATTTCTCAATAAATGTATTGCTGATAAAAAAATATATATACATAATAGGTGTTGCGGATTGGCTCATATTAATTGTTTGAATATTTTTACACTTTTCGGTTTCTGTAATCGATTCATTTCTACTTTATGTTTTGGACGAAAATCGACAGTCTTGTCGAATTATTCAGAACAAATTTTGTTGAAAAGGTAAGTTCAAACATAAGGAAAGATTTGTTATCACATCAAATAAATACAGTCCACTTATCTTGTACCAAAATATTTTTACTGATCCAAGATCCAACAATGGAAGCTATTACATGAGTATGAAGTATACTTCATTCACCTGAGCGTTTAAATCATTACTTGAGAGTTGCATAATCTATAATACCATGACGCGTCTACAGATAATACTTCGAAACACTTTGTTTTAAAAGATTAGTCATTTGTCTATATTGTACTTTGCTGCACATCCTCCTAAGAAATTTAAAATTTCAAAATACTGTTTTTACGTTAAAGTATGACATTTCTCACGATCTTGAAAATCTCTCTAGTTTGAAAATAGCCCCCCAGAGCAGGATAGTCCAAAGCTAGACTGGTTTTTAAATATGTTCATACAACTATAACTTTTACGCGAAAAGTTTTGATTTTCGTCCCAATAGCCAAAACATTTTTATATAAGTATTTTACGTCTTCAATGAAACATTTAGTTGTATCATGTTGAACAATTTTTCCTGAAATTCTTTCCAGTTAGTTTGGCTATGTTAGAATTACTGGGGAATTATATAAATTTAAATCAAAGTTTATTATGAACCCTCTACCAACTCCTTTATTAGTAATATTTGGAAATATATTTATATATTTTTATGAAACACTATTCTATATTACCGTTTTAATGAAAGTAAAAACATTTTTTTAGTTCAGAAGTGAGTTTTATTACAAAAACTTCTTTTGTAAATGGTGTTCTTTCGGCTATGGGTGTGTTTATGGAGAGGTTAAGTCTTTATGTAACCATAGTAACATTTGCATTAACTGGGAATCCAATAACTGGGGATATTGTATTTTCCATGGCTCAACTGTTTAATACAGTCATATATACAATGTGTATTTGCTTTCCGAGGGGATTAACATTTTATAATGAAGCTAAAGTATCGATAGGAAGGTTTGTATCAGTGATTTTTGCTTAACTTTAATATTTATTCGTTTTTAGTTCATAAGATTAAAAAAAAACTAAATTTTGATTATAATTACATTAATGTGTGTAGGTATATTTTTCTATTTATTTTTTAGGATAGAACAATTTCTGATTCTCGATGAAATCGATCGTAAAAGTATAACCAACCAACCCACAAATTCACAAGAATCTAACGGCAAACAAATTACAAGTTTAGAAGAAACTAATTACGAAAAAGGAGAAGCTGGAGACATCGATTTAGATAACGTAGCAGCAAGTTGGATGCCGAATTCGACCATACCAACTTTAGTAAATGTCGACTTACATGTCAAATCAGGCACATTATGTTGCGTGGTTGGTAACGTGGGAGCTGGAAAGAGTAGCCTTTTGCAGTTGTTACTCAAAGAATTACCGATAACGTCTGGAAAAATGAACGTGAATGGAGCGATCGCTTACGCGTCCCAAGAACCGTGGTTGTTCGTGTCCAATGTGAGAGATAATATTCTGTTTGGGAAGCCTTATGATCGGCGCAAGTTAGTATTTTACTGAATTAGGCATTCCAACGATAATTCAAACAATAGCTGCTGGTGGAAAGGGGCTGCGACATAGTTTTCCATCTTACACACCATTTTTACTCGAAATAGTAGTTGCCAAGCCTGCTAATTTATGAAAAATGTGTAAACGTTTTTTTTTAAATATTTTCATTGTATTCGACATAAAATATTTAAAACTAATCCATTATTCATGATTTCACGTGTTATAGATACACAACCCCTTAGATATGCCAACCCTTCCCATCGACAACCATTTGAAATGCCTAATGAGTTGTAGACGCATTATCGACAATTTATTTTGAAATGTTACTAATGTATGTCACAACGTCGAGCGAGACTCACGAGTTTTATTTTACAAAGAATAAGATTCTGAACTCGATTTAATATCAACACAATTTTTAATACGGTTTGCATCAAGTGGTCCACAAAAAGTGTTTCTAAAGTAGGCTTTAAAAAATTTGTGCACATCGAATCATATTTTTCTTCTTTTTAAGTGTCCGTTTGGATTTAATTCAGAGCCGTGCATAGTTATCATGGACATAAATACTATTTCTATCTTTAACAGTCATAGCCTATTTTAAAAACATCTTTTGTAGATTACTCTTTAGTATTATAACTACAAATATAATCTTAAACCATTTAATAACAATTTTTTGAATAATAAATTGCAGATATCGCGAAGTCGTTAAGGTTTGTTCTTTAGAAACAGATTTCAAACAATTTCCGTTTGGCGACAAATCGTTTGTTGGTGAAAGAGGAACATCTCTAAGTGGGGGACAAAGGGCAAGAGTGAATTTGGCTAGAGCCGTTTATAGCGAAGCTGATATTTATCTATTGGACGATCCGCTGTCCGCTGTAGATACCAAAGTCGCTAAGCATTTGTTTGATGTATGCATAAAGGACTATTTGAGCGGTAAAACGAGGATTTTGGTCAGTCACCAGTTGCAGTTCTTAAATGGAGCTGATCTTATTGTAATAATTAATAATGTGAGTGTTATTAATGCACCTGACATTCATTAATATCTTTACTATTTTATTTAGTATTAAGGTAAAATTTCGAGGCACGCGGCAATCGGCAATGGTACTTATCGCGACTACCTTGAATTTATTTTTAATCGGAGTACTTACGGCTGGTGCATTAGTGCTGCAGAGCTGCAGAACTGCCAAAAAATGCAAGTATATCATCTAAATTTCACATAAATTATTTTAGACATTAAAAAATATACGTATAATAGATTTTATGGATTATTTAACGCTATAATACATCAACCAATGACAATTATCTTTAATTAAAAACCGACGCCAATCAACACATGTTTTCACTCAACCTCCAAGAGTAACGTATCGATGATTTATTCGAAACGTCAATGTGAAGTTTGTCAAAAGGTAACGCAAAATTGACAAAAATTGTTTTGATTATTTTTATATATACAGAGTGTTTTTTAAACATGCGGCAAACATCCAAGGGGTTGTTCCTTGGACTATTCTAAGAATATTTTATCCTTCGATAATTTTTGAAAATCCGTTTGGTTAAGTGGAAAAATAGCGTTTTTAGTAATTGGAATGTTGTTAAAAAAAAAATTATTTTTAAAAAAGTTGTATGTTCTTGGGTAACACAGGGTAGTACCTATTTTTATTTAGACTATTAATAATTTTAATAATAATCAAAATAGTTTTCTCAAAAACTCCTCCTAAACGGCTGCACTGATTCTTCTGAAA